GGGTTGTTAGACTAAATATCCCAATTTAACCAGATCACATTTGTATCAATAATATAATCTTAAAATTGTACCCACTGTTAATACAAATGTGAAAACATAAATAATTAAGAGATTAAAGCGAAAATTTTGATCTGCAATGATCAAATTGAAAAACAATCCACACTTTAAAGGGAAAAAATTGCAAATTATCCTATTTATTGACGTGGCCAATTCCTTAATAATTGTGCTTTAGGTAGAGGGTTCGTTAGTAAGAGGCAAACACACTGTCATTTTGAGTGGTAGCAGTAGCATCCCCCTTCCCTCAAAAGAGATATACATTAGTAATAGAACACTATATTGTCACTATTGCTGTTGATTTTTTTTTTTAATTTTAAAAAAGAGTAAATTGGTGATAAATCCTATTTAAGTAGGGTATAAGGTATTAGGTACAGTGAATATTTTTTTATTGATAAAAGGTTTATCTTTTGTGAAATACTTTGGCGAGAAGTCCTTTTGTTAGTTTTGAATTATATTTTATTTTCAATTTTACCCCTTAATTTATCTGTTGACTTTTTTTATCTGTGGACTTTTTTTGACTATTAATTCAAATTTATATTTATCTGTTTAAATTTATATATATCTGTTCAAATTATTTTCTATTTGTTCAATTTTTTCCCTATCGGTTCAAATTTATATCTATTTATTGAATTTTTCCCTAGTTGTTCAAAATCTACGAGTTTCTTTATTTATTCGTTTAAAATCTGTGAGGTTCTCTATCTATCTGTTTATAAAAAAAAATATACAAATATCTTATTTATTTGCTCAAATTTTTTATTTGTTAATTTTTTTTTATCTGTGTAATTTTTTTGTTCAATTTTTTTCCCCAAAAATTTATCTATTCAATTTTTTTATCCCAAAATATTTTATATGTTCAATTGGTCTACCCTACCTTCTACCAGAAACATGTTTTTGAACTAATCTTGGTCAAAGTTGTTGACTGTAAAAAGTTTGTGAGAGATATGTTTTGTGTATGTTTTATCTATATAATTTTTAGCTACAACAACAAACCGCATAACAAAATCACAATCAATTCCTATATGTTCAAACCATTACCAAAAATCACATAGGCAAAAGGAATTTTCTAAGAAACATATCAAAAAAAAAAAAAATTTCATTCTCAAACACACAGATGATCAACAGATGATCATCAAAATCAAAGAAGCAAAAATCAAATGCATTTTCCCCTCTTTTCCTCTTTGTGATCTCCTTATAACTGTTTGTATGTGTTGAAATAAGAACAGATCAGTAGTAGTTCTTTGTTCGGTTGTTGAGAAAACATGCACACAAACACAACAACAAAATAAACAGATACAAAGATGAAAATCAAAGAAGATGTGAGAGCTCTCTTAACCATAGGAAAGGCATACACATACATAGATAGCCACACTCCATACTACACTCGAAAAATGCTTTACCTCATTCACAAAGTAGAGCACAATCCTTGCAATTATGGAAAAATAAAGTTAAAATAAAAATTAGGAAATGATTTGATAACTAGCATTTCAATAGATGAATTTGATTCACCAATCTATGAATTTTGAAAAATATAATTTAGATATATATATCGCGAAACTCACATACATTAATCGAAGTTACCAATCGTGTCAAGTTCTAGAGAGAGAGAGAGAGAGAGATTTTGATTTCAACTTTGATGTTATCAAACTTGGAGGCCATTTTCGATATGAAAAATAGGGAAGATAAACCTTGCGTGGGAAATGTCTGAAAGTTCGGTCTTTCTCATCATCCGCGTTTTCAAGCCCATCAAACCAATCTCCATTTACAAAGACCTCCACCTCTCCTTCGTTGTCCCTATTAGAGCTCTCTACTCCCCTCTCTCTAGCTCTCCAAATCCGCCTCCGCCGCTACAAGAGCGTCATAGATGACGACAACACCGAGATCCTCTAGATCTACTATATAGTTAAATATAGATCTTATTGAAAAGTATATAGATATATAGAGAGAGGGAGAGAGAAAGATCTGGTTCTAGCGCTGACACTACTATCGCTTCTATCACCGTCGAAGGGGGATAAAGTGTGTGGTGGCAAAGGAGTGAGTTGGTGCCATAGCTTCCTCAAATCCATCATCAAAACTCCGATGAGTCTATCGTCCGATATAGAAACCCTAGGCCGACAATAATGGTTTCGGAGAACGATGATCGAAGAGATGATATATATAGAGATGTATATGACAAGGATGGACTGATGGGGGCTGGCAGGGATGACCACCAGCCCAAAATTCTTAAAAAAACCCCCTAGATATAGTAATAAAATTACAAATTGTAATGACCCCAAAATGCATATCATGATTATATTAATTTAATTATGTGTTCAATTTTAATTGTGATATGTGCCATGTGTGATTCGAATGCTAATTATGTGTTTTGTAAGAGTTTTGAATCCATATCTATTCATCGTATGAAAATCTATTCTGAATCCTACGAAAATTTGAAATTGAGGGCTGTAAAGGCAACAGAAACCGAAATTGATTACTTTGTTGTGATCAGCGTAATTTTTAGAGTTTATTGTGAAATTTATTCACTAGGCTTTAGCTCACTGTTTACTATATATATGTAGGTGATCAAGCATCGAAACAAACTTAGCAGCGTCGACCCGAACCCTGTTTTTGTCAAGCCAACTATTGTGCCTCACTGCAAGGTTCCAAACTCTCATGTGTCAAGGCTTTTAGGTCAAGATTCAACTATCTGTAAATGTGAACTAATGATATGAAGTTTTTGTTCTATGACTTTTGATAACGAGATTTAATTCCCTAATGCCTTGAACTTGATATAACGGTTTGTTTTGTTCATTTAAGTCTGCACAGCTCATTAGACGTTTTATTTTATTATTTATTGGCTTCCGCTGGCCCTATTTATTGTCAACTGTTAAGCAGGCCTTTGGTAATCATGGATTACTGGCCGATTATGACACTAAACCTATAGGAACGGGTTTGGGTCATGACACAAATATTTTTAAATTATATAGGTTCGCCACCCCAAAGTTTTTGCAAAAAAATTAAGAACCGCCACCCCTTAAATTTTGTACTTTAAAATTTAATTTTTTTTGATAAATACTAAATAATAATAATAATAATAATAATTTATTTTTTAAGTATGATTACTTTTTATTTGAAATTTAGTATGTTAAAATAATTGAGAATTTATTTGTTAATATGTTAAAGTCCTTTTTGTCTAATTAGGGCTCAAATTTTTTAGTTGTTTTCTTATAACTAAATAAAAAAATTTAAAAAAAAAAAAAAAACTGATTACTCAAGAAGATACAAGTCTCAATTCTATGTAGGTAGCAGTAGCCTACCTAGAGCAGTCATCACATATTCAAAACAAAAAAGCTTCTCTTCTCTTTCTTATTTCACAACCAGTGAATCCAAATCATCAAAACCAGTGACCGAAAACACAATCTCGCTCTCGTGCGTCCCAAGTCATACAAAGATGAAAAAATCAAAGAAGACGTGAGAGCTCTCTTAACCGGAGGAAAGACATACACACATAGATAGCCACACTCCACACTACACTCAAAAAATGCTTTACCTCATTCACAAAGTAGAGCACAATCCTTGCAATTATGGAAAAATAAAGTTAAAATAAAGATTAAGAAATGATTTGATAATTAGCTTTTCAATAGATGAATTCGATTAACCAATTTATGAATTTTGACAAATATAATTTAGATATATATATCACGAAACTCACATACATTAATTGAAGTTACCAGCATCCTCCTCTGATTCGTTTAAGCCCTCTAGCATCCTCTGATTCGTTTTTCACTTTTTCACTTCTAGGTAATACTAATCTCTACCATTTTTTTTTTCAAATTTATTCGCTCATTTTGTTGTTTGATTTTTTTTTAATGATTAATCTCGTTTTTGGAAATAACAAAAATCTAAATATACTCTGTTTGGTTGCTGAGAAACTGGTGGAAAACTAATGAAAATGAAATAGAAATCTTCTCTTGCTTTGGTTGCAAAACAAAGCATTTACTGCAGGCTTAAACAACAATAATAATAATAATAATAATAATAATAATAATAATAATAATAATAATAATAATAATAATAATAATAATAATAATCTTTAATTTCTCAGAGATGAATAGGCTTAAATATCTTTAATTTCATTGCAATTCACTTCAATTTGGATGCAATTCACCTCGTTGGGGTTAAAAATTCTATTACTCTGAACATTTTTATTGTTTACCCATTGAAAATGACATATCCTTTGTTAGATTAGATTATATTGTTAGTGTGCTTCTTACCTAGTGAGTAACAAAAATTGTTTAATAATTTTCAGGTTCTTAAATCAAATTGAGATGAATGTTAGGTGAATTATGGTGAACAAAAAAATTGATTCTTTCTTTAAGAAAAGAGGCTCTCAAGATATAGAAGTTAATGCAACTACAAAACCTCCATTGATAATGTTGAAGCTTCAAACTCTGAACAACGTCCTTGTAAAGTGCCTAGAATAGAATCCAAAGAAGTTGATACATCTTCTTTGGTACGGGATCTAGGACTACGACCACAAATTTGGGATTATTTGATATCTCAACGCAATGAGATTCGATGAGCTTACATCAAATTTGGACCATACCAACCTAACAATCAACCTCTTGAAGAGAAGAATGGGCATCATTTTCTAGCTTCTTAGTACAAGTTATTTCCAGATTGGCTAGAATATTCTCCAACCAAACATTATTCCTTTTTGTCTTCCTTGCTATCTTTTTACAAAACCAAATGGACTCACTACTTCTAGCGCTTTCATTTCTGATGGATTTTCTTCATGGAAGAAAGTCAATAGTGGGAAGAATTGTGCTTTCTTAACTCATATTGGAAAGGACCCTAATTCATCGCACAGAATTGTTATCAAATCTTGCCATGATTTAACAATTCAAGCGCAACACATTGAGAATATAGTTGAGAAACAAACTTCTCAACAAGTTGCAAAAAACCATATGCGGTTGAAGACTACGATAGATGCTATCAAATGGCTTACATTTCAAGCTTGTGCATTTAGAGGTTGTGATGCAAGTCATGATTCTAATAATCAAGGGAATGTTATTGAATTGATAAAGCTCTTGGCATCTTATAATGCGGATGTGGCAGATGTTGTGTTACATAAAGCTCCTCAAAATGCTTCATACTACTCGCATCGAATTCAAAAAGAGATTCTTAGTATTTTCTTTGACAAAATACAAAGATTCATTCATGAGGAGATTGATGAAGGAAAAATTTGCATTATAGTGGATGGAGATCGAGATGAATCAAAGAGGGAGAAAATGGTCATTGTTCTAAGATTTGTTGATAAAGATGGTTTTATAAAGGAGCATTTTTTTGACATAGTTCATGTATCGGATACAACATCAGCAACTTTGAAAGAAGAAATATGTATTGTCCTATCTTGTCATAATCTCAGTGTACAAAATATTTGTGATCAAGGATATGATGGTGCTAGTAATATGCGTGGAGAATGGACTGGGTTGCAGGCCTTATTTCTTCATGACTGTCATTTTGCGTATTATGTTCATTGCTTTTCTCATCGACTCCAATTAGCATTGGTAGCGACAACAAGAGAGGTTATACCCATTGCCCAATTTTTTTCTTATTTGGCTCTCACATTTAATCTATGTGGCTTTTCTTGTAAAAGCATGATCAGTTGAAAGTTGCTCAAGCTAAAGAAATTGCAGCAAAACTTGCCATTGATAAAGTTGAAACTGGTAAAGGCAAAAATCAAGTTGGGACATTAAAAAGGGCTGGAGATACTCGACGGGGTTCTCACTTGGGATCTATTTCCAATTTGATAAATATGAATCGTGCAACTTGATTAGTCTTAAGTAATGCCATCAATGATGGAGCCACCTCTACTCAACGTGCAGATGCAGATGGAGTTTATGATAAGATTACATCTTTTGAGTTTGTGTTTATCTTACATCTTATGAGAGATATTAATGATGATATTTGCCAAGCTTCGCAACGTAAATCCCAAGATATATTGAATGCAATGCATCTACTGTCAACTACAAAAGAACTTGTTCAAAAATATAGAGAAGATGGATGGATTCCTTTATTGGAGAATGTTCAACTATTTTGTGAAAAATATGACATAGATATTCCTAATATGAGTGCTCGTTACACATCTGATAAAGGTCATGCTTGTCACCAAAGAGATCACACTACTATTGAGCATCATTTTCGGGTTGATATTTTTACAATTATATGTGATTCTCAATTGCAAGAATTGAACAACAGATTTAAAGAAGATGTGATGGAGTTTCTTATTCTTAGCTTTGCTTTAGATCCTAGGGATGACTACTGTTTATTAAAAATTGAAGACATATGCAAGCTTGCAAATAAATTTTATCCTAATGACTTTACAGAGCAAGAAATTCCATGCAAAATTGCGAGATTGACATCCTTAAACATCTTGAGTTTTAGCAACTATTGACAATTTCTGACTTGTGCCAAATGTTGGTAAAAACAAGGAAGCCAACAATTTATCCTCTTGTCGATAGATTAATTCGTCTTGTTCTAACTTTACCAGTTTTTATGGCAACAACATAATGTGCAATTTCGGCCATGAAAATTGTAAAGATTAGATTGCGCAATAGGATGAAGGATGATTTTCTTTTAAGCTACTTGTTAACATATGTTGAGAAAGACATTGCTCGAGATTTTGAAGTAGATTCCATCATAGATGCTTTTTATATTATGAAAGAACGTCGAGCACAACTTTAGATGCCTAAGTAGATATGTAGAGCAAATAGTTGCTTTTTTGAAAATTAATATGGATTTACTAGAACATATCTAATTGTATTTTGATAATATTTTGTAATTATATACGATGAATGTAAACATCTAATTATATATTTTTGTGATATTTGGGTAGAAATTGATATTGTATATCACAAGTTCATTACACTCGGCCCCCCTCCCCCCGACATTAGAATCCTGCATCCGTCCCTATATATATGGATGCATAGAGGGAGTAGAAGAAGAAGAGAGAGAGAGTGAGAGAGAGAGAGAGACTGATATTTGTTTGTTGCATTAGGGTTTGAACGGTAGAGTATATGTATATATATACGTAGTTTGGTCTTTGGCAAAAGTATGTCCTTATTGGGAAAGTAATTTGACACATGGACTTTTAGATAGAAGAAATCTAAAATTGGATTTATAAACTGAAAGCCTTTTTAAAAATTAAATCAATTTGATAATCATAATTTATTTAATTATTAAGTTAATTATTTAAAAAATGGTGATAATTATATTTTTTAAAAAAAATATGATAAATTAAATTTATTGCAATTATTAGATTGATCAATTTTTTTATGAATAAAATATATTAAATATCTAACAAAATAAAAAGTTTTAATCACTAAAACAAGACTCATGATAAATTTTACATACCCAATCTATATTATGGACAATAGGGAATTTGACGTCCTACCACTTATTATACCAATATTTGTTTATTTTATTTATTTTTATGAATAATTTATATTTATATGATTCCAATAGTAAACCTAAGCACAGGTGGCTTGAAACGAATTAGGATCCGCTTCTTGATCTCTCTCTTTGTCTCTCTATTTACTGGGCCATTGGACCCACTTTCAAGCTTAATTTCAATGATCCGAACCGTTTACATTTTAAGATTTGTTAGCTATATCATACCTGTAAAAAATCAGGTTGATCGGATATCATAAACTATGTGTTCGGATCATCGAACTAAAAATCATTTTTTAAAAATATTTAATAAACATTTTTCTGAACAGATGTTTTTTGATATCTGATCAACTTGATGTTTTACAGGTATGATATACTCAACAAATCTTAAAATGTGAATGGTTCGTATTATCGAAATTAGGCCCAAAAATGAGCCTACTGGGCCCAATAAGAAAGGAGACAATGAGAGAGATCAACAAGCGGATACTGATTATGCTGGAAACAAGCAAGTAGTAGTCTTTAAATTAACGCCAGCCAAGGTATAAATTGGTAGTACCAAAGAGGTCCTTTAAATTAACTCCATCCCCAACAAGGAAGATTCTTTACAAAAGTCGTTCCCTATAGGGCATACTGTAGACACCGCATTTTTGACCGTCCTCAAGACTTGGACGTCATCGTTTGAACACCCGATGATTTCGCATGTTCATGTTTTTTTTGAGTCCCTGAAGGTCTCGGCTAAGTGCCTTGCCTTGGAGCCTTTTAACTTGTCTGTTTTGTGCTTGGTTGTGGACCAAGAGTTTTGTGCTTTGCATCTGGAGGAGAGGGTGGCTTATCGGCCATCCCTAGTGTCCATCAGCCATGGCTTGTGCCTGCCGGCCATCAGTGGTGGCTGGTCGACTATGCTGATGGCCGGTTGGCTACATTTGTGGCTGGTCAGCCACCAATGATGGCCGGCGGCCATTTTTCTCCTTTTTCAGATATTTTTTAGATATTTTATGCCAACTGGTAAGCACTGAGGCTCATCTCCATACATGTGTATGGGAGGATGAAGGCAAGCCTTTGGCTTGTTTTTCTATATAATGGGGGGATCTCTCCCCCATTTGAGGGTTATAAATTTTCAGAGCAAAAATTTCACTCTCTTTCTCTCTCTCTCTCTCTCTCTATATATATATATATATATATTGTGCTTAAAAGTGAGTTTTCTCTACACATTTGCACTAAGACCTTTAGCCAAACACCTTCACCTTGGAGCTGAGGTCCCTTGAAGCTTGGTTTGAGGTCTTAAGCTTGGTTTTGGCTCAGAATCTTTGCTGTTTGTTGTTGTGCTTCAAAGGTAAAGCCTTATCCCCTTTTAAGCTTTGCTTTAATTGTTTGTTTGGCCACCTTTGCATGCTGTTTTTGGCCAAGTTTTCAACTACAAAAACCTCTGTTTTTAAGGTCTAAAAATGGTAGTTTAAGGCCCTTTTGGAGTTAGGGGTGGTCCACCCTTTTTTGTTGCTTGTTTGCTAAGAGTTATGCCATCTTTTAAAGCTTTTCAAACAACCTCTTTTTGGCCTTTTATCCACTGAATTCCAGGGGGATTTCAGTGGCAAAACGTTGGTTTTGAGGTCCAAAATAGGAGGGGGTGGCCTTCCCTTCTTGTGTCTTCTTTGTAAGTGTTGATGGCCCAACATGTGAGCATGTTTTTCTACCATCTCATGGCATGATCTCAGCATGTTTTTGTGACTTTTTTGACTTTCTTTAGCTCTGTTTTTGGCTGGTTAAGCCACTTGTTGCTTGCTTCTTACACTTGTAGTGTAATCATGCTTACTAGCTTAGCATGCCTAATGAGTTAGCCTATCATTCTAGTTTGTGTTAGCTCTATCTCAACATGTTTTTGCTCATGTTTTGTCATGCTTTAGCTCTGTTTTGAGTGGTCTTGGTCTTATGAACTTAGCCTTGCATGGTTGTAGTGTAAATGCCTTCACTAGCTTTGGGTTTTGAGGCCTCTAACATATCTTGCATGAGATGTTTGCATGATATAACATCATTTTACATGTGATTTTAGTGCATATATCTCTGTCACACTCTCACATATTTCACACTTTCATTGCTTTTGAGAGTTGTGCATTGAGCCTTGTTTGTGAGCCAACATGTGAGCATGTTTTTCTTGCTTTCTATGCCTTAATTTCAGCATGTTTTGGCTATTGTTTTGGCATGTTTAAGCTCTGTCCAGAGTTGGTTTGGTCATTTGAGCTTGATATCGCATGCCTCTTGTGTAATGCTCTTTACTGGCTTAATGCTTTTGGCTTTAAATATGTCGTGTATGTGTTGCTTGCATGGTTTAGTGTCTTTAGCATGCCATTTTAGCACTGAAATTCTGCATCCTCCCTCATTTCTTCATTTTCCCATTTGCTTTGAGGGTTGGTTAACCTTATGGTTGTGTTTAAGCTTGAGATAAAGCTTGTGCTCAATGGCTTTAACTCTCTTTTGAGGGTTCCTCCTAGTCAAAGGCATGGTCTCTCTCATGTTTTAAATCATCATTTGGCTAACCCCTCTCTCATTAGAGGACTTTCACATTGGACTTAATCGGTTAAAGGACTAATCGGTAATATAAATGTGTAAACAAGAATTGAGCAAAGTAAAACATGAACAAGATAAGCATTTGTGTTGCATTGCATGTGTTTGGATCAGACATTAATCCAAACACAAGAAATGTGGAACGTTTCATACTCATAGTGATGAAATGTGTCACGTTTCTTGGTCGCCGACACCCTTGATCATGCATGATAGGGTGGAGGCTCTTTGAGTCTTATGTGCGCATTCATTAA